GAGACTAACTGATGCTGGTAATCTTTTGTGGATCAGGGGTGGGTTCAAATTGGGCTTCAATAAGGAGGAATCAACTGTAAAATTTGAATGTTCTGATAAACTTCTCCTTATTTTCTCTTTTTGATCACTTGAATGAGATGAATATTGAGATTGATAAGGTATCATCACAATAACGGGATTAAATGTTACAGTTTTAGACTTCTTTTCTTCCACCACCTTTTTGTTGGGACTGCTAGTCATTATTGTTCCCTTCTTAAGTGAACTGGTCAGTATTTTCACTTGTTGATTACCACAATCAGTTGGCTGTTGATCATTAGTCGTTGAGATGGTTGTTGATTCATCTTTCAGATCACCGGTCTCAGATGAGAATGGGGATGTTATAATAGGTAATTCTGTGTCTAAATCTGACTGAATAACCAAGTTCTTTTCAAGAGAGGGTGTCCCGCTGCACAAAGTTGATGAGTTCCTGCCAAATGAATCCACTGATGAACTGTCTTTCCATTGTCCAGGGTAGTCAGTGTCAGAACTATGATCAAGGCTATCCTCTTTGAATTTCATTAAATGTAAGATATTAATTGTCTGTCGATTATTTTTGTCCGAAGAGGAGCTTTTTTCTTCTGAACTGGAAATACATATATTAAGTGACTCAGAACTGGTACTGGTTATCTCGGATAATGATGTGGCTCTCCACTGTTGTGATGTTATGAATTTGTAAGTTCTCATTGCCTCATGGGCTTCAAGAACATAAGGGCTGCTGCTGTCAAAGTTAGACACATGGTCCATGGTAATAAAACTATGTTTAAGAGCAGCAGCTGAGGTAATACGTTCCTGTGGTGTAGGATTTAGCATTTGCTTTAGAAAATCTATGAAACTTAGTAAATCCTGCCTTTCAATGGGGTCTTGCGTTGCTGGACAGATTTCCAGCAGGTCGTCCAACGACTTCAGCTTCAGCACTTGACTAGACATCTTAATTCTATTTTTCCAAAAGGAAAAATTATTACTGTTGTGTGGTTCACCCAGCATTTTAAAAATTGCCGCCTTCGTTTCTTTAGGAGGATAATATTCAAACAGTTCATCTCCAAGGTAGAAATAGATCAAAGTGAGGGCTAGAGACCACAAATCCAAACAAGCATCTGGCTTGTCACACATAATTTCCTCCGGAGACATGTAAGGAAGACGGTTAACACAAATATTTTCCATTATTTCTATCTCCTTAGAGCAACCCATATCGATTAATTTCACTTTTAGAGAGGGGCGGCCTACCAGCATTATGTTGTCAGGGCTGATATCTCTATGTGCTATTCCATTACTATGTAGGAAGTGTAAAGCCACCAGTACCTGTTGAGCGATAACTCGAATGTTACACAAATGTAGTAAACCACCTACAATTTCCTCTGAAAAGATTTCCAAATTGATATCCAGTTTTTCAAACACAAAGCACCGGTTTGTTTTATAGTAAAACTCTTCATAAAACTTCACTATGTTGTAGTTGTCCGATCCAAGCACTTTGATTTTTTTCAAGACATTATTTTCCTCCTCGATAACCTCATTCTCTTTTACTAATTTTATTACAACAATCTCTCCAGTTTCTTGGTTTATGCACTTGGTAATTATTGTTTCTTCATTAAAGCATAAAATTTCTATCAAGAGGTATATGCTTGTTTCCGATTCAAAAACAAAATCTTTCCCTGCTGAGAACAATTCCTTCAAAATCCTGTTGTTATCAGATGTTGAGCTGGTTGTTAATTCATGTTTCAAATCGGAGGTCTCAGATGAACAGGGGGCTTCTATAGTAGCTGATTTTGTGTCTGAACTGCCTGAACATTCGCTGTAAGTTTCCCAGCCAGAACTGGTTATCTCAGATAATGATGTGGCTACCAAACTTTCTGATGTCTGTTTTTCCGCCTTCATCTCTGGCACTAATTTTATTAACAGTCTGTTCGGTGTCCTGATGTCCAAAGCACAGTCTTTCTTTAAAGGAATACTGTTTGTTTTTGAAGAATTTAAAATCACTCTTATTTTCTTACAACAACTCAGTGTGACCACCTCAGAATCTAGTCTGAACTAATGATATGCTCTGATGACACACCCATTTGATAGAATGCCTATGACGTCACAAACATTCCGAATGTGCTAAAAATAGTAACTGGGTGGGAGGGGTTGTATGTGTGGGCGTGTACAGGGGCGGATTTACCAGTAGGTAAAACTAGGCAGTTGCCTAGGGCCCCGAGTTCCTGGGGGGCCCCCTAAAACTCCTTTTACATGTATGGTTAAAACAGCTATTACTTATTTGTGAACAATCATTATGTTTTTGATAAAAATTATTTCGCTGAAATGCCATTAGAATGCTTAGAATATTAAGTGTGTCTCGGGGCCCCCCCTACAGTGTCCACTACATTGGTTCAGTCCATTTTTTGCGCATGGGCAGAAAGGTCCAAACACACGGCAGCAAACTATTTGAAAACAAACGGTGCGAAGAGAAGATACGAGCAGAGAGGGGGAGAAGAGAAAAGAAAGGAAAGGAAAGAAAGATGGAAAGAAGTTCCCCTAGCGGTGCTGAAAAGAGGAGAAAGAAGAATGAAAGTAGGAAGCTGCTTTCAAAGTTACCGAAAAGGAATGACTTCCCTCCGTTAGCGCTCCGCCCCGCTGACGTACGTCGTGCGGAGCGCTTGTCTTTCATGTAAATCAATGAGAGCTGTTCCACATCCACCGCTACTCCTCCGCACGTCTCCGTCCACGTACATCTTCTCCGTCCGTCACCGACAAAATACGGTGCCGAGCTATTTTTTGCTCCGCTCCGATCCGGCCAGGTCAAGATCCGCAATTGCAATCGCACCAAACAGGAAAAAGAACATCGAGAAACTCGATGTTATAGTAGCAACAGATCGGTAACTAGAAATTATAGCATAATTTTTATATATTAAATAATACGATGCAAACTATTGGTTATTCACCAACCAGGAAGCAGATTTCTCATCTCCATCAAAATATTTATTTTATAGGGGCTAAAAGTGTAATCAAATCCATTCAAAAGAAACTTCTCATTACAGGAATGGATTAAGAGAAGTGTAGAGAACAGACAAAGTTCATTCAAAAAAAGCAGTTTTAAATGATCCTAGTTATCCCCGTTACAAAAATCTACAAATATATATATATATTTGGGCAGAAACTGAACATATGCTGAAGGCTGATGGGGATTTTGTTAATACGTCATATTAAATTAAGTGTTCACAGGGTTTATACAGGAATGAGTGACTCTAATTTAATGCTATTAGAAATTATTTTAATGCCATCAACATGTACCATGTACACAAGTTATTAGTGTACATGATATATGAAGGAGCTGTAAGCAGAGTTCCATGACTCCTGTATGTATGTAAACAAACACACACACACGTACACTATATTGCCAAAAGTATTTGCTCACCCATCCAAATTATTGGAATCAGGTGTTCCAATCACTTCCATGGCCACAGGTGTATAAATTCAAGCACCTAGGCATGCAGACTGTTTTTACAAACATTTGTGAAAGAATGGGTCGCTCTCAGGAGCTCAGTGAATTCCAGCGTGGAACTGTGATAGGATGCCACCTGTGCAACAAATCCAGTCGTGAAATTTCCTCGCTCCTAAATATTCCACAGTCAACTGTCAGCTGTATTATAAGAAAATGGAAGTGTTTGGGAACGACAGCAACTCAGCCACGAAGAGGTAGGCCACGTAAACTGACGGAGCGGGGTCAGCGGATGCTGACGCGCATAGTGCGAAGAGGTCGCCAACTTTCTGCAGAGTCAATCACTACAGACCTCCAAACTTCATGTGGCCTTCAGATTAGCTCAAGAACAGTGCGCAGAGAGCTTCATGGAATGGGTTTCCATGGTCGAGCAGCTGCATCCAAGCCATACATCACCAAGTGCAATGCAAAGCGTCGGATGCGGTGGTGTAAAGCACGCCGCCACTGGACTCTAGAGCAGTGGAGACGCGTTCTCTGGAGTGACGAATCGCGCTTCTCCATCTGGCAATCTGATGGACGGGTCTGGGTTTGGCGGTTGCCAGGAGAACGGTACTTGTCTGACTGCATTGTGCCAAGTGTAAAGTTTGGTGGAGGGGGGATTATGGTGTGAGGTTGTTTTTCAGGAGCTGGGCTTGGCCCCTTAGTTCCAGTGAAAGGAACTCTGAATGCTTCAGCATACCAAGACATTTTGGACAATTCCATGCTCCCAACTTTGTGGGAACAGTTTGGAGCTGGCCCCTTCCTCTTCCAACATGACTGTGCACCAGTGCACAAAGCAAGGTCCATAAAGACATGGATGACAGAGTCTGGTGTGGATGAACTTGACTGGCCTGCACAGAGTCCTGACCTCAACCCGATAGAACACCTTTGGGATGAATTAGAGCGGAGACTGAGAGCCAGGCCTTCTCGTCCAACATCAGTGTGCGACCTCACAAATGCGCTTCTGGAAGAATGGTCAAAAATTCCCATAAACACACTCCTAAACCTTGTGGACAGCCTTCCCAGAAGAGTTGAAGCTGTTCTAGCTGCAAAGGGTGGACCGACGTCATATTGAACCCTATGGATTAGGAACGGGATGTCACTTAAGCTCATATGTGAGTCAAGGCAGGTGAGCAAATACTTTTGGCAATATAGTGTATATTTATATATTCTCTAGCTTTTTCTCCGCCTCGAGCTTCCTTTCCGAACATACGGCTTTATGATCAGTTTCACGCAAATTAATAGCGATATAGTACATCTGACGAAATCGTTTTTATAAACATTTTTATTAAAGAATCATAAATGCCACGATAAACATATTTAATTAATTTTAGTGCCAATTAAGGCCATGATTTAAAAAAAATTATGAATTGTAATTATTTTTAATGATCAGTGGACACCCTGGTTCATCTGGCGCATGCCCTCTACGATCTCCAAGGAACTCAGAGCGGAGCGGACGGGAGCCACAGCGTAGGATGTAGGCTTTGCTTTGTGCAGGCGGTCTGGAGCGCAGCGGGGCGGTGCGCTGACGGAGTATGTGGGATTTCGGGGTTCGGCTTCTTCACTGCGGGGAGCAGCAGCAGTAACCCATGAACAGCTGAAAACTCAGCGGTAACGCTGGCACCTGTTGAGGAGGATCCATCGTGTGGAGTTGAACAGCTAGTGAGTATTAAGCTGTCGAAGGGGATATTCCCCCTATATTGATAAGTATTTATTTACCTTTTTGAAGATGGGTCATTTTAAAGTAAGTTTCTAATTTCATTTGCTACAAACCATGAAAAATCAATTATTTAGGTGTTTTTTATGCTGAATTTCAGGAAAATCTCAGGCTTTTAAACGTTGTAAAATCATCCATAAGTTTTAGGTGTTTTAGTCCTTAATAATTTAAATTATACATTCAAAAAACATAAGGAAGTTATTACGAACATCTCACTCTGCTTTACAGCTTTGTATCAACATTGCTTTAATGTGTGTTATGCTACGTTCACACAGGACGCAGCAAAAGCAGCAAAATGGCGTCTGCTGCTTCCTTTTTGCTGCTTGTACCAGTTAGTTCTGACGCGCGGCTGAAGCAGCTTTGCTGCTCTGGCTGCGTGGTGCAAAAGTGGGTCTGACGCACGTTGGGCGGAGCTTCACTATCCTTTCTCTGCCTTGCAGCTATATTTGCTGTGATCAGTGGGAATAAAGTAGTTTTAATATGTTTTTAAGTGAGAACATACACCTGAAAACTTCATCAGTGCAGTCAGTTCATCCAGATTACAATCCTGCCTCCCAATGTTATTTCTGTCGGAGCCGCTCAGACCCCCACATACCGGCGGTGCGCCGACAGTAGGAATCCCTTCATCAGCAGCCTCTGGCCGGGTCGCCTCCTTGCGGTTCAACGCAGCAGCTGGTAGGTGTTTTTCATCTAAATAATTTGATCTGCAGGCACCAGAATAATAAAAGCGAACATATTCTTCCGGCAGATGTATGCATTTTAAGTTAATTTAGGCGTTAATAAACTGTTTCAGAGGAGTGATCAGAGCAGTCTGTGTCATCTGCGCTGTGTCTCTCTCCCAGCCAGCTCCCAGATCAGCTTCTCTGATTGGTTGACGCGGTGCATCGAGCAGCAAAAATTACATTTTTCCATCTCGAGCATCAACGCGTTTGCGGCGCGTCACGCGCGTCAGATGCTTAAACGCGCCCGACACGCTGCTTCAGCTGCTCAGACGCGCTGCGCCTGCTGCTCAAAACGCGCCATGGGACCTTTTGCTCGCTGCTTCTGTCGCGCCAGCTGCGTCCGGTGTAAAGTGCAGCTATTGTGTACAGCTGGGGAGTATGGGTCACATTAATTATAGATTAAATAATTTACTGTTCTGTAGTTTAAGCAATTGTCATATTTGTAACAACACTTCCTTTGACATGCACCTTTTATTTATTTATATATACACGCACACACACACATATATATATACACTATATTGCCAAAAGTATTTGCTCACCCATCCAAATTATTGGAATCAGGTGTTCCAATCACTTCCATGGCCACAGGTGTATAAATTCAAGCACCTAGGCATGCAGACTGTTTTTACAAACATTTGTGAAAGAATGGGTCGCTCTCAGGAGCTCAGTGAATTCCAGCGTGGAACTGTGATAGGATGCCACCTGTGCAACAAATCCAGTCGTGAAATTTCCTCGCTCCTAAATATTCCACAGTCAACTGTCAGCTGTATTATAAGAAAATGGAAGTGTTTGGGAACGACAGCAACTCAGCCACGAAGTGGTAGGCCACGTAAACTGACGGAGCGGGGTCAGCGGATGCTGACGCGCATAGTGCGAAGAGGTCGCCAACTTTCTGCAGAGTCAATCACTACAGACCTCCAAACTTCATGTGGCCTTCAGATTAGCTCAAGAACAGTGCGCAGAGAGCTTCATGGAATGGGTTTCCATGGTCGAGCAGCTGCATCCAAGCCATACATCACCAAGTGCAATGCAAAGCGTCGGATGCGGTGGTGTAAAGCACGCCGCCACTGGACTCTAGAGCAGTGGAGACGCGTTCTCTGGAGTGACGAATCGCGCTTCTCCATCTGGCAATCTGATGGACGGGTCTGGGTTTGGCGGTTGCCAGGAGAACGGTACTTGTCTGACTGCATTGTGCCAAGTGTAAAGTTTGTTGGAGGGGGGATTATGGTGTGGGGTTGTTTTTCAGGAGCTGGGCTTGGCCCCTTAGTTCCAGTGAAAGGAACTCTGAATGCTTCAGCATCCCAAGACATTTTGGACAATTCCATGCTCCCAACTTTGTGGGAACAGTTTGGAGCTGGCCCCTTCCTCTTCCAACATGACTGTGCACCAGTGCACAAAGCAAGGTCCATAAAGACATGGATGACAGAGTCTGGTGTGGATGAACTTGACTGGCCTGCACAGAGTCCTGACCTCAACCCGATAGAACACCTTTGGGATGAATTAGAGCGGAGACTGAGAGCCAGGCCTTCTCGTCCAACATCAGTGTGCAACCTCACAAATGCGCTTCTGGAAGAATGGTCAAAAATTCCCATAAACACACTCCTAAACCTTGTGGACAGCCTTCCCAGAAGAGTTGAAGCTGTTCTAGCTGCAAAGGGTGGACCGACGTCATATTGAACCCTATGGATTAGGAACGGGATGTCACTTAAGCTCATATGTGAGTCAAGGCAGGTGAGCAAATACTTTTGGCAATATAGTGTATATATATATATATATATATATGTGTATATGTATATATATATATATATATATATGAAAGAGAGATTCTTTTCTCCGAGTTACAGTGACATAGACAAACTTGAAGATACATGACATCCTCAAATTTCTATTCTATTAACATTTCTGTATCTGTATAATGGGTCTGTTCTATATGTTGTCTTCTCAATTCATAGGGCCCCGTGCCTGTCTTTGCCTAGGGCCCCAAATTTCCTAAATCCGCCCCTGGGCGTGTATATATAAGTATGTATGTATATGTATGTATGCATGTATGTATGTATGTGTAGGTATCAGAGATGGGAACTCGAGTTTGTGACTCGTACTCGAGTCGCACTTAAGTCGCATATTTAATGACTTCAGACTCGACTTAGACTTGCATTTGAAGGACTTCACTATGTGACATATATGCCCGCGTGCCCGTGCCCATGCATGCATGATCGACAAGCCAAGCTTTAAAAACTTCATGGCAGTCGTAGAGGAGAAAAAAATATGTTGTGAATAATGTTTTGAATTGGCAATAAATAAACTGAATTGAATTTAAAATACTGCCCGCCAAGTTGGTTCTGTGTGTTCCAGGGCATTAAGTTACAAAAAGTTATTGCCACAATGTTTCTTTTATGAAAGAATTGTTATTGTCCTGGTATTTATTTAGGGATTTTCTTTATCTGTTGTAGTTCCTAACTTCATATGTATTAATAAAAAGCAGGATTGTGATTGTTTTTTTTCCCACAGCCCTCATTTTCACTTAAAAATAAAAGAGCAGACATTTACTCCTAAAACTAGAAAAAGTTATAACTACAAATGTCATTTAAATACTGTAAGAAAATTGTTGTTTTTGAAACAAAAAAATAAAGATGCAAAATTTAACTGGAAAAAAAATTGCATGTGTGCTTTTTTAAATTGTATTTTTCATTTACCATTTCAAGATAATGATCATTCCATAGGATATAATAATAACCTTTAAGCTATACCGTCTCAGTGACGGAGATGAAAACACAAGGAGAAACACGCAAATTATTGCACTTATTTTAATTAATCGAGTGATTAGAATTTATTGTGCGATTAATTGATAATTGTGACAGGCCTTCTCAAGACTTAAGACTTGACTTGGACTTGCAAAAAATGACTTGTGAACATGTCTGGTAGGTATGTATGTATATGTATATATTTATATATATATATATATATATATATATATATATATATATATATATATATATATATATATATATATATATATATATATACACATACATACATGTATGTATATGTATGTATGTGTGTGTGTGTGTGTGGCCATGTCTTTAATACCTGGTGGGGACAATTTCCTAGGAATATGCCACATTTTGGGGACTCATAGGTTCTTGTGGGGACCAACAACTGGTCCCCATAAGGAAAGTTTCTCTTCTTGGGGTGAGGGTTAGGTTTAGGACTAAGGTGTGCATTGAGTTTAGGTTAAGTTTAGGGATAGGTATGTGTCGGTAATGGTTAGGGTTAGGGCAATGGTCACGGTTAGGCCATATAAATTAGTGGGAAATGAATGGAAGTCAATGGAAGGTCCCCACAAGGATATTGTGACACAACGTGTGTGTGTGTGTGTGTGTGTGAGTGAGATAAGACTTGAAAACGAAAAATAAAAGGTTTCAACATGCACTGTAGGTTACAAACAAAGCAAAGAATGACTCACAGTATACAGTTTGGTTCTTCTACATGTTTTAGTTGTTCTGCTAATAGTGGCTCTGTTTATACAGTATTATTTCTAATAGTTGTGGTTACAGTCAGTCTAACTAGCTATTTTCTTTGTTAGTATATTTGCAAGGATGAACAGGAGACATGAAGATGTGTAATAATGAGAGAATAAAAGGAAGGAGCATCCTATGTTCATCTCTTTTCCTTTTTGGTGCCACGAGGCTTCTAAATAAGAAATTAAAGTCACAGTGAACTCTGCTTTGAGGAACTTCGACTCTCCTGCACTCATCACAAGAGCTGCATGAATCATATTCAGCTATTTCTGACGGCACTAGCTGATGGCATACAATTGCATCTAATTAATTGTTTTGCGCTCCAGTCTTCTAATCTGTAAAGCAGTCAATTTGCCACTGCAGTGAATCAAGCAATTGGCAGCTAATTAAATCTTTTTATTTTGCTTTCCTTGCCGGGTTTCTCTTCCTGGTCTGCCTTTAATACAAATAAATTATGTTTTTTCCTCTTATATTTCTAACATTTTGGTTACCAAGTTTCAGAAAATGCAGAAAAAATGCCTACTATGGTTGACATGCAAAACATTTAACCAACTTGACTATGGGCCGGATCTATCAAAGGTTTGCGTGTATTAAAACGTGAGCTATTTCACTGCGCACGCTAAAAAATGTACAAACTGATCTATCTACAGCGTGCTAAAAGGATTTGGTCTTTAAAACGTGCTAAATAGCGCCTCTTATCCA